CGCACGGCGCCTCTGGCTGGCGCCCGCCCCGGCCCGGCTCCTGGGCATGGAGCGCAGGGCCATGCCGCCCTGCCCAGCCACGCGGGGCGAGGCCTGCCGTCCGCGCCAGGGCACCAGTCTGCCCAGGGGCTCTGTGCCGTGCTTTGGGGAAAGGCTACCGAGGGGGGAACGTCCCCTTTTGGCAGTTAGCGTTTTGGGGCGGGAACCGGCTCTTTATTGAGTCTTTTATTCAAAACAATGGCAAGGCAGTGACACGGCTAATGAGAAGCAGCACTGGCGAAGCCCCACTGCACGCAGCTCGGCGCCCGTCCCCAGCCAGCGACACCCCAGAACAGCCTCTCGGGGCCCGCTCACCCCAGCCCAGAGCGGCAGGGGAGGGGGCGGACGCCTGGACCCCAGAAGGATACATGGCCGACACCCACGGGCTGGTGGACGCGCTGACGAAGAAGCAGGACAGGCTCCACACGGCCATGGCCACGGGGGTCCTCTGCGTGAAGTTGGAGAGGGACAGCATGACCCAGTCCCGGACCATGGACGACTGCCCCGTGCTGTGCAGGGTCTGGAAAACCTGCGCAAGAGAGTCGGGTGTCGGGGCGGGGCCTGCGGTCCCCCACAAACACGGGCCGGGGCCCAGTGGCCGGGGCCCCACGTACCTGGTACACGACAGTGGCCATGAACTGCGGGTACGGCTGCTGGTTGGACAGAAACTCCCCGATGACTTTGTTCATGACGTCCTGGGGCGGGAAGAAGTCGTCTAAGAACTGGGGGAGGATCCGCGCCACCACTCTGGCTTCACAGGGAAACCCCTTCCGGATCCTGGAAGGAAGCAGCCCCGTGAGCGCCGAGCCCGCCTGTCCGAGTCAGCCTGCCGGGGGCCCGGGCTGGGGGCTCTCAAGTGGAGGCTCTGCGAGGCTGGTGCCCCGCTGGGCGGGGCGCGGGGCAGACGACCCCAAGTCGGTGTGCGCACGTACGCGCTTCAGGTGGGTGAGAAGCGCCGGAGACGCGGACGCCGGCCCACTGCGGCGGACGGCCCCCGTCGCCCAGCACAGTGAGGCGGGGCTCCGGAAGCCAAAGCCGCCCACTGCCACGCCGGCTCGCGCAGGGCGCAGCCCGGCCCGCCGCAGGGAGGTGCTGGCGGGTGGCAGGAGACGACTGCCCCGCCGCGCGGTCCCAACACCTCCTGCCACGCCCTGGCCCCCGCCCCGGCGGGGTGGAGCGATGCTGCCCCCGGGGCTCTGTGACCGCAGGCCCGGTCCGAGCAGGGCTCCACCCGTGCGGCAGCGAGGCGCGGAGGCGGCCCGGCGCCCTCAGCCCTCCTCACCTGTCGAAGAGCACGGACACGCGCTCCATGGCCACGATCACCGACTCGCTGTCGGGGGCGGTGGGGCTGGGGTCCGAGGCTCTGCCCGGGCTGACTTTCTCCTTTCCTGAAACAGTCGTGAGCGCTCTCACTGGCTGGCTTCGGGCA